GAATCTCTGTGCCAAGATAGATGGACACATCAATGCAGTGAGAACTTTTTTCCCCGGGAAGATACTGTTTTTTGAAGAGTTTCTTCAGTGTGCTTTTGGCTTTTCAACATAAAGCAATGAACCTGCTCTAGCAGATAGAATAAATGTTGTTTTAAAGGAAATAAGGCAGAGGAAGCCAAACTGAGTTGAAGAAGCAGGGAAGGGGAGCTCACAGCTCCTTCCCCCAGACCCCACGCTGCTGCCTGCAGGTCCCGGGGCTGGCGCAGGCAGTGGTGGCCTCAGGGGACCCGGGCAGGACAGGGGAGCCAGCGGGACGCTGGTAGGCTTCAGAGCAAGACTTCATCCCTCCTGGCACGGAGGAAGTGTTCGGGTTGTCCGGGTGTGCTCAGGGCCCCAGGGAAGACAGAGCAGCGGAAAGGGGCTGGAGGTGGGGGTTGTCCCGGGAGACCCCGGCCAGACCCACCAGCAATCCTCCCGCCTCCCGTCTTCTGCGGTGCCATGGTCCCCTGCCACCGAGAACAGGGGAGGATGAGCTGAAAGCACAGACGCTGCGACCAATTTATCATATTTATTGGATTAAATTACATTTAAGGGCTGTTGTGTCAAAAGATCCAACTTGTTTTATAAACCCTCAAAAACTCGGGGCACAGAGAGGCGGTGGGAAACTTTGGACTCAGCGGCAGAGCTTCATCGCAGTGGGGTCCCCTCCAAGAGGTTACTCAGACATGTGCCACAGCAACTGAAATACCAGTGGATTTAAGCAGACCTGCGGTTGTGTGCACACCGCAGCCTGCACCCACAGTGTTTGTGATCCCGGGCGGCCGCGCAGGCCCACAGCGTGGCTGTGCTGGGTGAACTCCGGGGCAGCGGGTCCGTAAAGACATGTTAAGGGACTGGCCAAAGCCCCTGAACATCCCTAGAGAGGGTGCTGGGGAACGTGAGGGGAAGAGATGGCAGAACATGGCCCCGCTCAGGTGCTGTCCCCAAGAGCATCTCCGCGGTGCAGCCGGGCCGGGGACATTACTTCGATTGCTGTAAAACACAGGATGAGGATTTTGGCATCATCAAGTTTCTTTCCTTGTTCCCACGCAGCATTAATAACAAACATAGTAGCGCGGTGATTAATAAGAGTAGTGAGCAGTCCCCTCTGCTGGTGCGGACGCTGAGGTGGCGCAGCGGCAGCGCGGAGCTCTGCGCCCCTTCGCCCCGGCGGGGCCAAGCCGTCACCCCGGGAATTTTATAGTTTCCTGTGAAAGAGGTCCTGCTCATTCATCAGGCATCGAAAAGCGTGTGCAAGCCAAGAATGTATTTATTTTTGATCTAAATATAGATGAAGTCCTATTAAAAAAAAATGCCAGGAATGGCAGGACTCCCTCCCCAAGGCCGTCACAGGGAGGGAGGGGGGGCGGCACCCGGGGTTGGGCGTCAGTCCATCGTTCCCACATGTGCCTTCGTCCGGGGATGCTCCAGGGATGCTCATCCCACCTCACTGGGTACCAGTTTAGCACAGGGACAGACACTCAGCGTGCGGCTGTGGGAAGGGCTGACACCCCACTGCTCCCACCACCTCCTAGCAGAAAGCAGTGAGCTAAAGGCCCCAAGATCCCTCCTGCAGCGAGTTCCCCCCTGGCACTGGTGGGACGTGGACGGTGCGGGGCAGGGTGGGAGCAGACGGAGGGTGTCCCACCGGCCGTCCTCTGCCCGTGGGCTGCCACGCGGGATCGGGGTGCTGTTTGTCAGGAGACCACTCTTTGGCTCTTTCCACCCTGGCAGCAGCAGCAGCAGCAGAGGGGATGAAGTTTTATCTCGTGCTTCAAGAATGACTCGATGAGAGCGAAGTGGGGTTTGTATTTGTTTCTGAACAACCACTAGCAACTGCTCAGTCCAGAAGGAATCTGGCCCGATGATTATTTAGGCTATCTGGACTGCTTCTAAAGCTTATCCAAACTGTCTGGCCCCTCTTTGTTGGTGGCTCAGAAGAAAACCACCCTCCTCCCTTTCCTCTTTGCCCTGACGGTGTTGTGTGGTCCTCTCAAACGGCAAGGTGCCCTCCCTCCGCCTCAGCTCCAGCCCCCGCCGAGGACGGGACCCTGCCTGGGGCTGGCTACCGCTTGCCTTTTGCTGCTAGCCGGGTCTCGGCAGGCCAAGACGGCTCCCCAGGGGACTCAGCCCGGCTGCTCTGAGAGTCCCATCCCCGCAGCCTGTGTCCCGCAGCATCCCGGGGGCTGAGCACCCCCGCACCTCCCTTATCTCCCTTCTCCCCCACCAGCCCCAGCTGCCGGGCGCACGGGAGCCGTTTCCAGCTTTATGTGCTTGCTGTCTTTCTCTCAACAACTTACCTTCTGGGTATGCACCAACACTCCCATGCCGCTGTGCAGCAGTTTAGGTCTCCGTACGGGTTTGCTGCCCGGCTGGAGGCTGAGCGGGCTCCAGGGGTGCAGGAGGGGGGATGGGAGGAGGGAGCCTCCGCTCAGCTCTCGTGCAGGCTTAACCCCTCTAACAAGACAAGACCAAGCCCTGGCTGCGCCTGCAGGGACTGCAAAGAAGCTCCTGCTTGTGAGCGGGTGAGCTCTGCACGGCCACGGCCGATGGCTCCTGCAGCTCTTGCCGGCGGACCCCCACAGCAGTGCCAGCACCCGCTGCCCTGTGCAGCCCGGGCCACTGGTACCATGAGCTGCAGGATCAGCTCCTCCGGTCATTTTTCAGCCTTACACAGGTCAGGGACTGGTTTAACCCAAGTAAGGCCAGATGAAAACTGTGTTAGACGCATCTGCTGAAAACGGTCTGTCGCTGCCAGGCAGGCAGCCGGCTTCGTTTATGTGCCCCACGGGCCTGCTGCCCTGCGCTGGCCGTAGAAAATGCACATATGTCTATATGTAAGTACACACACACACTTATATACACATATGTGTATATGCATATATATGTGTATATATAGGAAAGAAGAACTTTGCACGTGCATCCTGCAGCGCTGCCTAGGGAAACCTGCTCTTACCTCCTTTGTGCCCTGGAGTCTCGAAGCGCTGACGTGAAGGGTTTGCCAAAAAAAGAAGTGACACCTTGTGGATTTTTAAAGACTGAACAAACTTTTGTTGGGAACAGTTTGGGTGTTGTTCTGGAGCACGCTTACAGGGGCATGCGTAAGGTAAAGACCCAGTACAGAATTAGCCAGAAAAAAAACCCTTTAAAATATGTGTTTTAGTAAGAAGGCTGTTAGTATTCGAGTTCCCTTTTGCTGCAGAGCGCTTGGTGGCAGCAGCCCCTCAGAGCCACACCGACCCGAGAGCGCAGGCTGCAGAGGTGGTGCGTCTGCCACACTTCCCTGCGGCTCCTCTCCCACCCCAGCAGAGGCCCGAGCGCACGCCGGCATGGTGCTCCTGCCTGCAACATCCCCCAGTAAAACTGGGTCTGTGACGGGCTGAAACCAGCTCTGAACTGACACCCCCAACATACCCACTCTGGGGGCAGCCTCAGTGCCCGGCAGATGCAGTGGAGCATCGCTCTGTGCCGGGGCAGATGCAGTGGAGCATCCCTGTGAGCCGGGGCAGAGCTGCTGCCTGTGTCTCTCCCCCCAAAGCAAAGTCAGGAAAGCTCCTCTCTCCCTCACTCCCTCTCATCCTCTCTGCTTACACATTAGCAGAAACCACATGGGGTTTTTTTCATTTTAGAAACAGCATTTGAAAACACTTCCTTTACAAAGTCATTTTCAACTGACTTGTTTAAAATTGGTCAGCTGCTAAAAGTCTTTCCCCCGTCGTTTGTTCCTCACTTTTACCCCTCACAATCTCCGTTTAAGCTGACATACGGGTCTTTACCTTTTAAAAATTTCCCAGCACCTCGAGCTGTGTTTCTCCCGTGCGGATTTTGCTGAGATAACCTACTAACTCCACTGGCGCTTCGGCGACAGACAGGAGCTCCAGGCTGCGGGCGAGCACAGCCCCGTTGGATGCAGCAGTCTCTTGGGGGCTGCCGGTCCCACCCACGCCAAAGCCCTCCGTTAGGCTCCAAAGAGCACAAGAACAATGTAAGAAATCACGGAGGAGGAGAAGAGGGTTTGTTTGTAAATATGAGTGTTGGTGCCTCTCTGTTGGCTTGCACATTTCTGGACTTTTTAGGGTCCATTTGCTTCATCTCCTGAAGCGCTACGCTGCAAACGCAAATGTTTGCACTTAAATTAAATTAGCCTTAAACCCAAAGCAAGCCGAGGTTCTCCTGCAAGCTTTTCCGAGATAAACGTTGCAAGATTGGTGATAAAAAAGAAAAAGAGGAGGACACGGCAGAAGTGCCTCCTGCAGGCACTTGAGCCAATGCCCCTTCTCTGGATGAGGCCCAGGAGCGGGTGCTGTGCCCAGGGGCAGTGCTTGTCCCCTCCACGGGCACAGGGGTGACACCACATCCATCCCCCCAAACCTCCTGCTCTCCCCACCCCTGCAGCCGCCGAGGGCATCGCGCACAGCGTGTACCGCAAGAGCCTTGTATTCTTAGACAACAGGTTTTGTATTGGTACCACCACCCCTCAGATGGTGTTACTGGGTATTTTAAAAAGAAATCCGTTAAAGTTAGATTTGCTAATTTAATATATTTTGAAATATATCATTATAGATTATGCAGTAACTCAGGAAAACTGACAAATAAAATGGGGAAAGAAAGGGACCGGTCATAAACTGCACAGCTGGGCTGAAAATGCCTCTGTCAATCTGCATCACTGTAATGATACAGCACTGCAGCAAGAAGGGAGAACATCCATGGGGGGAAATCTTTACCCACAGGTCTCCTCCTGCGCCCAGCGGGAGGCCTGGAGCTGGCCCTGGCTCTGAGGCACGAGCGGTTTGGAGGAAGGGGTGTCACGGATTTCTTCCCCTTCCCCATTTTGTTCGCAGCCCTCTGTGGCAGACGTGAGCGCAGGCGGTGCGGTGGGAGCCGTCCTGGAGCATCCCCGGGTCCCCGCAGGCGCGGGGGCTTCGCTGTGCCCTAATTGTGCTCTTCTCCAGCTCCGGCGCTCAGACGATGGCGCAGCCGCAGCAGCACCTCTCGGGGTAGTCCAGCGCGTACACCTTGTTCTCCAGCCCGTAGATGTAGTAGAGGTACGGCTTCCCCGAATACTGGTAGTGAACTTCTGTGATGGGGATCAGCTCAATTGTTTGACGCTGGGAAAGGAAAGCAACAGCTCAAATTAAATAAGCAGCTTGGAGCAGATGCTGTATCTTGCTTTAGACCGACACTTGTGGAGAGGAAAAAAGCCCCAACTTTTAGCCACAAGGTCCGAGAGAGCGGCTGCTTTGTGAAGGGGAAAAGAAAATCTGACAGAGACCCACCAGCACATCACTACAGCCATCAAAAATTCCTCTAGCTGCAGCGAGCATGTTCCGGCCCTTGCGTACTAGACCATTTTTACTGCCTTTATAGCTATTTAGGCTAATTCCTTAAATCCTTTAAGCCCTTGTTTCTAGTCCTGGGTGTGTTAGCACATGCCCCTGTCTCACGCGTGGCTGAGGTCTGTGTGTGAAGGCGGTTCGCTGTCCTTGCCCTGGGAACATGGGAAAGCCTCAGGAGCCTGGGTGTGCACCAGCAAACACTGGTGTTGGTGGTGAACTGTGGACACGTGTCACCTCTGTCCCTTGGAAGCAGGAAGAGGTGTTGGTGATGGGCTGCACTGTGCTGAGTTACTGCAGCAGAAATTGCTGCAGATGTAACCCCTGCTGCTCTGCCCCCTTCTCCATCTGAGGGGAAGGAAGCTGCTTTCATAGAATCATAGACTGGTTTAGGTTGGAAGGGACCTTAAAGCCCCCCCCAGTGCCACCCCCTGCCCTGGGCAGGGCCACCTCCCCCCAGCCCAGGTTGCTCCAAGCCCCGTCCAACCTGGCCTTGAACACCTCCAGGGATGGGGCAGCCACAGCTTCTCGGGGCAACCTGCACCAGGGGATCACCGCCCGCACAGGGAAACATTTCTTCCTGATATCTCATCTCAATCTCCCTTCTTCCAGTTTGAAGCCATTCCTCCTCGTCCTATCACTCCATGCCCTTGTACAAAGTCCCTCCCCAGCTCTCCTGGAGACCCTTTAGGCACTGGAAGGGGCTCTGAGGTCTCCCCAGAGCCCCCTCTTTCATTTCCACTTGTCTGGCAATTATTACTCACGGCTGAGCTACAGGAGACAGATATCAGTGCTGCAGTGGCACCTTATCTCCCCACGGAGTGCACTGCTTTGCCCTTTTCTTTCCTTTGCAGAAGGAGTTTAGCAATTCCTGCCTTTCCCTAACACCAACCAAACCCAAGTTTTGGTGAACTTTTCATCTGTGTCAGCTGGAACCGCCGCCAGCTCGAGCCCAGCGACACCCACCAGCCCCTTCGGGCTGCCCGGAGGGAAGGGAGAGGGACGGGAGCCGAGCGGTGCCCGGGGCAGCCGCAGGAGGCGCTGAGCAGCGGAACCCCGAGGGGCAGGCGCCCAGCCCGGCTCTCACCTCCTGCTGCCATTACACGTGCAAAGTCTGCGCTTTAAATAAAGCCCAATGAGCCCAGCGAAGCCGGGGGAGCTCCAGCCCCTCCAACCCCACAGGGTACCGACGGTCCGGTATTTACCTCCGGCACACCCCCAACGTCGTGAGAAACCAGAATAGCGTCGGCCAAGCAGAGAAGAGCAGCTTCCCCCCTCCCGCCCCCAGCTTTCTCCAAAGATGCTGATTATTAAGCGGAAGAACTGCACTCAACAACAGGCGGAGGGGATGAAGAGTGGAATGGTGGGGAAAGCACCGGCAGAAGGCAGCCCGGGTCGGCGTAAAGCCCACGTGGTGCCGGGGGTTTGGCAAGGCGGGCAGTTTCCAGCACCTGCTTTCCCATACAGCCTGAGGATGCTTTGGCTGGTGTGCAGCACTCCAGTGAGCAAACTGCCTTTGATGCTGAGAAGGGGAAATCATAGGCTGGAATTAAGTTGGAAGACAGAAATTTGCCAAAGAGCTGGTTTTGACAGACCACATGGAAAATCAAACCATCTCCCTTCAAGTTTATTTTGGTCTTTCAGTTTACTTGCATTTTTAATGTGAAACCTTCTCTTTCCTGTGGGTGAAAAGACAGTATGTTCTAGCTCAACTTTTGCATTTGCAATCACATTTATAATAGCAGCAACAGAGATTACAACACTCTAGTGAGAATCAGAGGGAGTGGAATCCTAACGTTTATTCAAAATTAGCTTCTAAGATAAAAATAGTGGGAATAAATAATGTTTGCCAGGGCTTTGAAAAGGTAAAAGGAACAATAATAACCACAGTTGCCTACATCTTTCATTACACGTCTGAAAAATTATTTCCCTGGTATTTCATTTGATAATTAAGATTTCTTTGATAATTAAAATTTCTTTTTCGTGTGCTAAAGATCACCTCTAAATAAAAAATGAGATCAGTTACTATCCTTAACACCTTATTGTGCCTAACCAAGCTCCCTAACCAACCGCCTGTAGCCCCCGGGCTCCCCCCTTACCTGCCGGAGGATGCGGGAGGACGTGGCAAACGCTGCGCTGTGCTCTGCGATGGCTCGCTGCGAGGCCAGGGAGATCTCGGGGTCGGGAAAGTCGATGATGGGGTACACCTGCAAGAAATAAACCCAACCCCGTGAAAGAGAGACCCTGTTTGTCTGGCACAAACGCACTCATTTCACCTGTTACTGGCACGTGCAAGGGAAGACCTGAGGATATACTGGGGATATACAGAATAAATGCTAAGCTCAAAGTCCCAACGGCATGTCCATCCCGCCCCAGCAAAACATAGAAGTGTCCAAAACAGGGGCCGTGCCTCTCCAGCCAGAGGTTAGTGCTGCACGCGGAGCAGGACAGCGCAGGGAGAGGCTGCTCTTCCCAAACTGCCAGGTTTGCTTAAAACCGGCACTGGGTGACTCTATGCCCCAGCAGGATTCACTGTCACCTTCTTCCAGCAGCGCTGTTAAATTTGAAAGTTTTTTTAAAGCCTCTCTCTTTTCCCCCAGCATGTGGGCAATTTGCAGAAGAAATACTGGGCTTGTGGGCAAAGCAGAACCCGCCAGGGACACAGCTACTCCTTGCATAGCCCGGAGCGATGGCCGTTAGTGTCAGAGCCCCACCGGTTTTAATGCTCACAGAACTTCGGATCTAGAGCGCTCGTCGGAGAGTGACTCAGCTGCTAAAGCATCATCCGAATCCCAAAGGGATTCTGCACCGCCAGATGCAAAGTCTTGGCTACAGATGCGTGTCACCGAGTAACAGCTCTCTGGGGGAGAGCCGCTCTGTGCTTGGATGGTGCTCATCCCCCAGCCCTGGTACATGGCTCAAGTTTCTACAGGTTGCTGCAAAACAACTAATAAATAATAAAAAGGCACGGTTAAATCCTCACCTATTTGCATTCGCATAAAAATACCAAGCTGAGGACCGAGCAGTACCACAGCGCGTCGGCTGTAGGAGAGCACTGTGCTTCAGCCATTTACAGACTGTTTTGCCCCAGACTTTTGCAGGTATACGGGGGCACATTCCCTCTGGGAGCCCTGTACCACGCGAGCTGGAGGAGAAGAGGTGTCCAGCACTGAGGAACATCTTGTTTAAGGGCCCTGCATGTCCCCACGGCCGCCCAGCAAGCAGCCCCAGCCAGCAGCAGCACCTCTGTGCTGGGTCCTGGCTCCGAAGCTGGCGGGATGAGCTCCCGCCTGCGGGATGAGCTCCCGCGGCTCTGCAGGCAGCTGGCTGTGCTGGTTGATGGCAACGCCACGCAGGCGCTCCGGCAAGGGCCAAGAGCCGCCATCCCATGCCCTTGCCCTGCACAGCCCGCAGCCGACCGCGCTGACGCTGTGCGGGCAGTGGAAGATGTGCGCGGTGCAGTACAAAAAGTGCCGGGGATGGATGTGCTGCTGGATGTCTCCTCCTATTGCTGGGGAGCTGCAGAGAGCGACTCTGGGGTGGGATTTCTGCCAGCCCAGCAAAGGCCACCAAAAGCAACCCGGGGCGGTTGGGCA